AGATATTTAAAGGGCGTTCGTGGGGAAGAAAAGGTTGAGAACCACTGAATTACTGGAAAGATCCATATATTTGGTTTTATTTATTTGGAAATTTTACATTGCCACCTACTCGCTCACAGCGACACAAGGCAGCTTACATGATTAAAAATGTTGTATTTGTGTAATAAAATGACCACTAAGCATCAGAACGCTGCAAAAAAATCACAAAACCCACATATCCACCTAAAGCTATTGCTCAAAAAGAAAAAAAGAAAAAACAGAATTACAACTTTTCCTACAGCACAAAATGAATCGATATGTATTTGTTCAGTGGATTAGTCACGCATTTTCAGAAGTGGCTTCTACAACACCTGTCAAATCACATCAAAATAGAGGCCTTTTACCATGCAGGAGGAAAAACTCCCTATAAAGCATGCAACTGCCAACATACACACACACACACACACAAAAAAAAAAACTCCTAATACACACACAAAAAGAAATAACGAGGATAATCAATTAGATAATGACGTTTGACTGAGGCTCCCATGAAAAACGTCATCTTCCCCTCCTAGGACCACAAAGATCAACAAAACCACACTCCCAGGCAGGAATGAAACACAGGTGGTCCTCGACTTACGACAACTGAGCCCAACCTTCATATTGCTAAGTGTGAAATTGGTTAAGCGAGCTTTGCCCTGTTTTACGATGTTCCTAGCCACAGCCCTGCCGTCGTTAAATTAGCAACCCTGTTGTTCAGTGCATCTGGCTTCCCCCATTGACTTTGCCTGGTCAGGAAGTTGCCAAAGGGGAACCCTCCCTCCCGGGGACATTGCAACAGTCATAACTGTGAGCCAGTTGCCAAACATCAGGAACATAAGTCATGTGACCATGGGTTGTTTTTTTTTTTTTGTTTTTTTGCTGCAGCGGTCACAACGGTCACAAGTCACCTTTTTTCAGTGTAACTTTGAAGTATCTGTCAGAAATGGTGTAGGTAGAACAATCAACCAATGGAACAGAAGTTGCCCTTGGAAGCTGTGGGAGCTTCATCAGTGGAAGCTTTCAAGGAGAGATTGGACTGCCATTTGTCGGAAATGGTGTAGGGTCTCCCACTTGGGCGGGGGTGGTGGTGGACTAGATGACCTACAAGGT